GTGCAGCACACACATGGGGGGCAAGGCTCTCGCCCAAAAGGCGCTAGGACAGGGATATTATTGGCCAACAATAAAGGTAGATGTGATTCAGTTCGTCAGGAGGTGTGACAAGTGTCAGAAGCACGCCAACATCCACCACCAGCCCGCTGCCGACCTAAAGTATCTCACCAGCCCATGGCCCTTCGCACAAAGGGGAATCAATATACTCGGACCGTTTCCACCAACGACAAGACAGAGGAGGTTCTTAGTGGTAGCAGTTGATTATTTCACCAAGTGGGTGGAGGCTGAACCTCTCGCAACAATCACAGCGTGAAGTGTACAGAACTTCTTCTGGAAGAATGTAGTTTGTCGTTTCGGACTACCCCAAGTGCTCATCTCTGACAACGGCAAACAGTTCGAGGACATCAAATTCCAGAACTGGTGTAAAGACATGGGGATACAACAAAATTTCACCTCGATGGCGCACCCTCAAGCGAACGGTCAAGCGGAGGTCACAAACAGAGCCATTCTCCGCGAACTGAAGGCACGTCTAGCCCGAGCTAAGGGACTATGGGTAGACGAGCTGTACAGTGTACTATGGGCTTATCGAACCATGGTGAAGACCGCAATGGGCGAGACCCCTTTTAACCTCACTTACGGCACGAAAGTAGTGATCCTAGCCGAGATTGAGGTCCCTACACTACGCCTGGATGCATACGATGACGAAGCAAACAAGGATGACTATGCACCAACCTTGACCTACTTGATGAGGTACGGGACCTCGCATACATTAGGACCGCGGCCTAACAGTAGAGAGTAGCTCGATACTATAACGCCAGGGTCAAGAAGCGGAACCTCTGCATCGGAGACCTGGTTCTTCGTAAAGTCATGGTACCTGAGCCCGGTGTTAGTAAGCTCGGGCCAAATTGGGAAGGACCCTACCAAGTAAAGCGGGTACTCGGGGAAGGAACATATGAGCTCGAAACCCTAAAAGGGAAGAAGATACCTCAGGCATGGAATATTGTCAACCTAAGGCAATATTACCTATAATTACCGAGTTGAGTGGACCACAAGTCACTCCTCGAGCCTAAGGGCTAAAACGCCGAGCTAACAAAAGACCTCAGCACCCAGTCGCCTCCTTGGCATGGGCGAACTCCAAAAGAGAGTGGGCTACAAGTCGCTCTCCCAGCCTAAGGGCTAAAATGCCAAGCTAACAAAAGACCTCGGCACCTAGTCGCCTCCTTGGCATGGGTGAACTTCAGAAGTGAGTGGACCACGGGTCGCTCTTAGAGCCTAAGGGCCAAAGTGTTGAGCTAAACCTCGGCAACATACAAGACCCAGTCGCTTCCTCGGCCTAGGTGAACTCCAGAAGAGAGTGGACTATGAGTCGCTCCCCCAGCCTAAGGGCTAAAATGCCGAGCTAGCAAAAGACCTCGGCACCACCAAAGACCTAGTCGCCAGTTCAACATAGGCAAAGTACTCTAAAAATGCCTAAGGAATAGGCAGCTCAGGTATGAGCACCTATGATAGCTCGGGCATACCAGGCAGTTCGACATAGACGAGGTAACCAGTGCGCAGACAGGTCGGGCATACACCCTACAATGTCGCTCACTTCGGCGTACACCTTGTGAAGTTGCCTCTAAGCACTGACAGTTCAGGGTAACAGCTAAGGAACCCCTACTTCGGTCATCTAACTCGATAGTTCAACAGTTCGAAAAAAATCACCATGGCTAGAATATCAATTGCACAACACTTAACAAAAAATGTATTTCATTATAAAGAGTTCATTACAAAAGGGGGAAAGGAGAAAAAGAAGCTGAGCTTGCAGGCTCACAATACAAAAACTACTTGGGGCACTCGTTGCTCTTGCCCGAAGCCTCGACAGAGGAGCCAGCCTTGTCATCGGCATTGGTCTTTGCAATGTCGTAACCGTCGCTCTCCGCTTCCGAGTTTGGGTCTTTAGCTGCTTCAAGGGCTACCTCCTTTGTGATTCGCGAGGTAGTGATGGCACTCACATCGAGCTGCAGGAATTCATGCTTGATCAGCCACCTACTGAGCTTGAAGCCTTTGCGGTAGCCCTCCGCCCCAGCCTCAACCAGCTCTCCCTCGAACTCCTCCGACCTCTTATAATCTTGGACGGCCTTGACTTTGGCCTCCTCCATGGACTAAAGAAAGATTTCAGTCCGCTCCTTGACATCCACCTCGAGGTTCTCTATCTGGCGCCTCAGAGCTCCTTTATCTATCTCAAGGTTTTCCACCTTGCGCAGTAGGTCTTCCTTCTCCGACATCAGCGACTTGATTAACTCTTTCTGAGCTAGCGCATCACTCTCTAGCCGGTGAATCTGGCCACAGGCTAATTTCATCTCGGTATGGGCCTCACGAGACGAACTCTCAGCAGCTAGAGCCCGCTTTAAGTGTTGCTCAGACTAGTAGGTCAGGGCATGCACGACATTGTTCACCTGCCAAGAGTGTTGGTTAGTACCAGTAAGGCTACAAATGCAGAAATCAAAGCTTAAACAAGACTTACCACCATACAGTGGGTAGCTGCTCGAGCTCCGACTGAGCAAGCGATAGTTTGGCTCAGCTAGAGACTTCCTCGATGCATGCAGCCCTTTGCTCTTGCGAAGGCTGTATTGCGGATTCATAATACTCCGGGGCGATCCCCCGCTCCCCGAAGTAGTAACGGCAGTCTCAGGAGCAGGCTCCACAGTTGTCTCGGGCTCCTGAGGTAGGGCCTTCTCCGGTTCCTCTAAGTCAATCACCGGAGCAACAGAGGGTTATTTAGGCTTGGGAGTAGGAGCCCGAGGAGACTCGACGCGAGCTCTTTTGACAGCCCGCTTCTTCTTCCCCTTCATTTTCCCGAAGAGTTTATCCGCACTGAGCTGTTCCATTGGGCCTGCAAAAAAGCTCGACATTAGTGACGCTATAAAAAAGAGATGGCAACTATTAAGATAAGATACTAACTCTAGACCAAAGTGACTTACCAGAGATCAAACCGGCTTCTATTAGCTTGTCCTCTGTGATATAGTCCTTGTAGTCGAACCTGAGCTCCGCCTAAGATTGGAGCATCTCTCTTGTTTTCAGGTCCAGCCTAATACCAGAGTCCTGAACAGCCGCCCTCCAATGAGTAGGAAATGGCCACCCCGCGGATTTGCGGACTACGAAATAATCTCGTTTTCAGGCCGGGATTTCACTAGGAAGCTTGTGCAACAACTTATAGCCCGAGCGAGGCGACAGGTAGTAGGCCCGCCTATGCTCGGGGAGAACGCTAGAGGCATTCTTCTTTATGGACAAGATAGAGGAGAAAATTTTGAGATCAAGTGGCAGGGCGTAGTCGAAGAAGAGGGAGATTGTCCTGACCACATTCCGAATGGAGTTTGGGTGAAGTTGGCCTATGGTGACGTTGAAAAACTTTAAGACCTCTATGATCAGGGGGTGTAGAGAAAGACAGAGCCCAGCCGCGTCCGAAAATCACGATCTCATCGTGACCGTGTTCCCAAGGGAAGTTACCTGTGGAAAGATTATAGGTATACTCCCTCGGAAGATTATACTAACAAATCAAGGCCCTAAGCCTCTCTACGGTCATAGTTGAGGAACCGAACTTGTCTGGTACCCGAACTCGATGAGAGGTAGACGCTGGGTTATCCGAGGCCTCCTGTGCCTCGTAGGTCGACTGTGCCTCAGAGATACCTACTTGAGCCGAGGTACCCACCTCGGGGTCATCTAGAAGCCTATCAAAGCTATGGTCTGACATAACTAGGAACTGAAACAAACTGGAAAAAGAGAGGAGATGGGGAAACTCACCAAGGGAAAACGACCGAACTAGGAAGCTGACAAGCTGGAGAACCCGAGCTAGGTGCGACCTTAGAGTGAACACTAGTAAACTTATGGCGGAGAAAATGACTCGGGTCCCCCCTATTTATAGCCGCTATATCCGAGAATCAACGGTCAGGATCAAGGCGATCCAACGACTCTCAAGAAAACCGGCTGCGCGACCCCCGAGGTGAAATCAGTTTAACGCGTTTTTTGGCATCCGCGGAGTCTATAGATCGCATGACATCCGCACGTGAACTGTATGCAACCCAGGTTATCCTTGATCGAGCCAAGTAGTGAACTGGTCCAACCAGCGAACTATCCGACTAGGCGACCTGGACTTCGAGCCAAATCCACCCGTCATGTCATGAACTCCCCACACAAGGTCAGGACCCCTGGCCTAGGGAGCGGGGGCAATTGATGGAGGGTGATTTGGCCCGACCTCATAATAAGGGGACACGTGGACATGACCCGACATAAGTGACAACTCAGCATAATGAGCTTAGTACAGCTCAACCTGATAGCTCACTCGAAGTGGCAGCTCGCCGCGAGATGATACTTTGACACCCCGAGTTAAGACTCCTAAGTAGGGAGCACCCCAAGCTAAGACTCCCAAGTAGGGAGCACCCCGAGCTAAGAATCCTAAGTAGAGGGGCACCCCGAGCTGAAGACACCTCGGCTAGGCTCATCAGCCCCCTAACTAGGATCATCTCGTTCCCGCCTAAACTTAGGCTCTCAGAGACCCGCCTCGGAGAAGCACCTCGGTGCATCACCAGTATCTCAGTGTAAAGTAGCTCGCGGCAGAGTAGCTCGGCGTATCATGGGAGATTCACTACTTGACAACCGTACCTGCCAGATTGCACCCACGTCTCTCGCCTGGCGGCGTCTGGCAGGACCGTACTCTGTAGCGATTACCTTTGCCCGCCAGCACAGCTCTAACAGATAACAGCCAGCCACGCCAAGCCGTTATTTGACAGAAGATCGCCGCAGCAGAGATTTGGAGGCGGTTACACCTGATATGTCAAAAGACCACAACATAAGGACCCCAACCCCCAGGGGCAAGGGGATCACGTGATCATCACTCTTAGCTCCTTGATTTCTCTGCATCTCTCTCTCTCTCTCTCTCTCTCTCTCTCTCTCACAGCTCCCAGCCTGAGTTACTAACTTGATCGTTGGAGAGTTCCCGCCGGGTGAACTCCCTACTTAAAATGGAGATATCCATTTCAAGAATTTCTCAGAAGGCAGATTCAAAAACTTTGAAAGATTCTATGTGTGCTCAATCTAGCCCCCTTGTTTCAGAGAATGGGCAAGAAATCTTCCCTCCTAGTGCAGATATAGTACTTACTCAAGACCATGTAATAGAGGTTCTTCTTAACAACCAACACGATCCTATATCAGCATTGAAATATTTAAGAAACAACGAGGATTTGTTCGAGGTGTGGATGCATTGTGTATTGTACTTCACATCATTGCACGATCAAGCAAATCTTCTACTGCTCAACATCTGCTGAATCTATGTGTTTCCGATAATTCTATTCCCAATGTAGATGTTCTGGTTAATAACCAAATTGAGAGATCAAAAAGGTGTGAATCAAATCCACTTCTGTTTAGTTATTTATTGAATAGCTACATACGGGCTGGGCGGTTTGAAGAGGCTGTGGAATGTTTTTATAGGTTGGTTAGGAGTGACATTGTTCCTAGACTTACATATAGAAATATTCTCCTATCTTCATTTGTTAGGGTGAACATGACTGGGAAAGTTAGGGATTTGTATAGAGAGATGCCAAAGAGAGGTATGGAATGCAATTGCTTCACTCTAAGTGTTGTGATGTGCGCTTTCTTGAAAGAAGGGAATCCTGAGGAGGCTGAGAGGTATTTTAGAGAAATGAATGCTAGAGGAGTTAAACTTGATTCAATTGCATATAATACGGTTATAAATGTTGTTTGTAAGATACATGATTCAAAGTTGGCAGGCCAGTTGTTTAAAGAAATGAAGGATATGGGGTGGGCTCCCCGTGAAAATATATACACTAGCATGATTGGTGCTTGTGTGAAGCAAGGAAATATTGTAGAAGCATTTAAACTGAAGGATGATATAGTTAACAATGGATTACCTATGAATTTGGTGGTTGCAACAAGCCTAATAAATGGGTATTGCATTCAAGGGAACTTGGGTAGTGCTTTAAAATAAAATTATTAAAATCTTTCAGATTTTTGTATGCATCGCACGAGTCCCTGCTAGTTTACATTTCAGCACGAAGGTGAGGCACCTTACGGATTTGGTGCGTACAACATGTACGCACAACGCGTAAAATTGTGGAAAAGTAGAAAGCCAAGGGTCGTTTGTCGGTTTGTGCTCTATCATTATGATGTAATTCTAATCTAGCGGCTAAAAGAACTTACATATATATGTTATGATGTAGGAGTGATCATTTCAACCCGGCTCGGCCCGACCCACACAAGCCTGACCCAAAATTTCTAGGCTTGGGCCTAGGTTTTGTGTTTAGGCTCGGCTTGGGCCTAGGCCCACATCAAGCATGTAAATTTTAGGGTCGGGCTTGGGCTTAATACTTCAAGCCTAACTTAGGCCTGGCCCGACCTACATATATTTAAACTTACACATTTTGTATATAATGTATACATATGTATATATGTTATTTTACATTATATTATAATATATATATACATATATATATATATATTAAAATTGGTCCTACCATGTGAGCACCTCTCTCCTTTCTCCCTCACCCCTTTTCAAATTTCTCCAAATTTTGAACTTTCTATTTTTTTAGTCCATGTAATATCACTTAAGCCAATAATGAAATCACATATGCTTATCTATTTCTAACAACCATAAAGAAAGAGGATTTGCTTTTCTAATGTTTAGCCAAGTGACACCATGTTCCCCCACTTCCTCATAAATTGTCTCTAATTCCTATTTACCTCGTAAATAATCTTATACACCTTTTTGTCTCTTAAGTTATCTCAAATTTAGTAGGGAGACTTTTTCCTAAACTATCTCTAATTCCTATTTATCCTCACCCCCACTTTTTATCTATATCTATCTAAAGAAATTTTCAATTAAATCAGAACTATTTAAATGCTATTATGAAATTATATATTAAATTTAAAATATTTATTCAAAACACAAAAAATTAATAGATTTAATAATATTGTTATTATTAATAATTCAATGTTTTTACAAAATTCATAATAAAAATAAGTAGTACCAATATAAATTATAATTTTATGAATTATTCAATGTAAATGTTATTCAAATAATAAAAATTTAACATTAAAAATAAAACATTATTTAAATATTTCAATATAAATCTTAAATAAAAACATTAAAATAGCAAAATAAAATTATAAAATATATAATATTACGTAATAAATAGTTAAATACAGTTAATATTTAATCCCACCCATACTCACTGAGTATTAATTATGTTATTAGCAAAAGTAAATAAATACGGTTAATAAATTACAAAAAATTAATAAATAATATTATTAATTAACACATTAATAACATTTTATAGAAATTGAAAACTCTTTAACTAATTTCTATAAAATTGAGAATTATATTTAACAATTATCAGAAAGTATAAAATTTTAGTTATTGTTATTATTATAATTAATAACCAAATACAAATGGGGGAACAAAATATTATAATGTTAGAAAATTAAATTATTAATTAATTTATATTGAAAAACAAAAGATAAATTAGTGTAATTTTGTTAATAAATTACCAAATAAAAATATATATTTAATAACAATTAAAAAAATTCAATAAATCCCCATAGGTACACAAATGTAATAATTTTTTCAAAAATTTTCATAAAACTACATTTTCGTAAAATAACATTTTTGAAGTTAAAAGATATAATGTATTTGAAAGTTTATTTAAAATTTATTAAATAATTATTAAAAATTAATAGAATATTCCGGAAATTTTAGAAAAATTTATTACATTTGATAGATTTTGGAAAACAATTGAAAATTATGTAATTTTCAATGCAAATATTTGAAAATTATTAAAGATAAATGACTACTGGAAATGGAAATCTATAATTTGAACAAATAATTACACAAATTATTAAGATAAATTAGTATAATATTGGAAAAAGGATGTTATTGGTTAGTTTATATTAGAAATTATAAGATAAATTAGTATAACTCAGTAAGTAAACCATTTAAAAAGAAAATAAATTATTTAATAAAAATAAATAAATTTGAATACATTTTCAAAATTACACAAGTACAATAAATTTTCCAATTTTTTCATAAAATTACATTTTTGAATATTAAAGACAATTTTGTGTACTTTTAGAAATTCACCATGTAGTTGATACTCAATATATTCTTTTGATTATTTCTATCATCAAATTGAATATTGGGTTGACGGGGATAATGTTTTCAAAACTAGATGTATATACATATATAAACAATTGTATATATCAAAAATCATATAAAATAAAAATTCAAACATCTTTCTCAACTTTTTTATAAAATGGACCTCTCATAGCTTGGCTCGGTCCGCAGCCTGGCCTGACCCAAGGCCATGGACCGACTTGGCCCAAGGCATGGCACGGGCCCGTGTGGACTTGGGTCGTGGATCATGTCGAACCAACCCCCAAATTATGCCAAGGGAGGGAAGACGTCAATCAGTGGTTGCCTTGCCCTAAACCCATCTGACATTAGGGACGAGGCAGGGATGAGGTAGAGTCTCTTGACTATGGAGTAGGGATAGGGATGGGGTGCCACGCTTTGAACCCACCCCGTTGTCATTTCTATATAATTTTTAATTATTAGTGAAATTATTAAAAATGTTAGTTTTTATAATTATTTTTATTTATTTGAAATTAATCAAAATTTCATTTAAAAATAATAAAAATAATAACAATTATTAAAATTACTATAAATTATTAATAAAACTAAATTTATTAAAAAATATTTATGCATATTAAATTGACAATAATTATTTTCTATAAATCAACATTAAATGAAAAATACAATTCCTAAAATTTTAGATATTAACAATAATTTTGAATACTTTAAGCTAATTAACAACACATTTTGATTATTAATTTAATACTAATAAAATTATTAAATCTTTCACATTGCACGGGTCCCCTACTAGTATATATTAAAATTGGTCTGTCCATGTCACCATACCTCTCCTTGCTTCAAACCCCCTTCGTAATTTTCTGTTTTTTTATTTTTGTAATTCCACATAATTACCCATTAAATCAATAAGGAAATCACATATGCTTAACTATTTCTAACAACAATAAAGAAAGAGACCGGATTATTAATAATTCAGTATTTTTACAAAATTCATTACTAAATTATGCAGTAATAATATAAATTATAATCTTACGAATTATTCAATTTAAATCTTATTCAAATAATAAAAATTTAACACTAAAAAATAACATTATTTAAATATTTCAATAACTAAAATCCTAAATAAAAATATTAAAAATATCTAAATAATATAACAAAATATTTAATATTATGTAATTACATTAAAATAAATAAAATTTAAATAATGAATAATTTTAAATATTTTACATATTATTTAAATATTTAAATAACAAAATATTTAACATGACAAAATTTTAATGAGACAAAAAAACGAAATTATGTAATAAATTAAAAAAAATCTTAAAAGTAGAAAAATAATTATAATATATTTCATATATTCATATTAATAATAATTTAATATTTTACAAAATAGCTAAATAATATAACAAAATATTTCATATTATGTAATAACATTACAATAAATAAAATTCAAATAATGAAAAATTTTAAATATTTTCCATATTATATAAATATTTAAATAACAAAATATTTAACATGACATAATTTTAAATAGATAAAATAACGAAACTATGTAATAAATTTAAAAAATTCTTAAAAGTAGAAAAATAATTATAATAGAGTTCATAAAATTCATATTAATAATAATTTAATATTTTACAAAATTAGTAACGAATTATGTAATAATAGTACACTTATAAATATAGAATGAATATACACTACTATTGTAAAATTATTACTAATAAATTATATTTATTAGTAACACTCATAATGATCAACTTTACGAAGATCCCATTGGATTCCGGAAGCTCGTAGCATTGGTCCTGATAAACCCCAATTTATTGCTTCCTCTCCACCAATAATGCCCACTCTTTCAACTCGTTCCAAAAAAATGGGATTCCAAGATGACAACTAGAACAATTGGCCATGGCAAGCAGTGGTTGGAAGAAAAGAGGGCTATCAGGAAAGGAATATGGGCTTTGCTCTAATCGAAGCTATTGCATAGTCTGCCCGACCTTTCAGATCTCATCCGTATTCCGAGAAAGAAGGTTGAAGTTTCACTCAACCCACTATCTTTTTGAAGCAGATAGTTCACAATGCTCCCTATTTTGGAATTTCTGTCATTGGCCTGACCGGAGAACTCCATGCCTTTTTTGGGGGGACAAACCCAACCGGCGATTTCCGACAAGTCTTTCTGAATTGTTAGAGCAAGAAGCAGAACTACAAGAAAGAAATTTAATTTATGTATTTATTGTATTTTTTTATAAATTTATTTTTAGTAATTTGTAGATTTATACTTATTAGAGATTAAACTATTATTTAAGATTATACTATTTATTGACTAATTTAGTATATTTTCAATATTTATTTATATTTTTGTAATTATTATATTTTTATTATATATCTATTATATTTTCCTTATAAACTTATTTTCAATGATTGTGCATATTTGCTATAAACTTTCAATAATTATTGAAGATTAAACTATTGTTATTTATTAGAGATTAGACTATAAATTTAGTTGAAATTAAGAGTGTTTAATGATTGGATCAGCTGAGTTGCAAGCTGTTTCACCAACCAAATCATCGATCTCGTCAAGTCTATAGTTTGTCAGTCTAAACCGATTGACCATTAGTGGAACCAACCAACTAGGGTTGTGTCGATTTGGGTCTATTTTCAGTTTAGTTTATTTGTTCAAAAGATTTAAATTTAAAAATCAACTTTAAATTTCATAAATTAGAATGATATTATTAAAAAATAAATTACAAAAATTAAATCTAAGATATAAAATATTTTAGACTAACAAATATGGGAGTTTTCCTACTTTTCTGTATTAAAATATTAAATTTAAAACCAAATAGTTAAACCATAAAAATTTGGAACCGGACACCCTTTCACCTCAAACCCGCTTTTTGTTCAAAAACCGTTTAATTGGTTAGCAAACCACTGCCTAGGCGGTCAAATCGTCAATCCGAGCAACAATTTTTGGCCTTTTTTGTTGTTTTATAATTTTTTATTTTTTTGTTAGAGCGGGCCATCCGTTTAAACCATACAATTAGATTGTTCGAGCCCAAAACGGTTCCTTATCCGGTCCAATTTTAAAAACCTTGTACAGGGAGTGGGTGCCTTGCCTTGAATTTGGCTTGGTGTGTGGCATGGCCTTGCCCAAGGCCTGGCCCATGGACCTTCCTGATCCACGGCATGGCACGGTCCCATGTGAGCTCGAGCCATGGGCCGTACCAAACCAAACCCCCAAATTATCCTAGAGGAGGGAGGCATGGCCCGGGATGCTTCATGAGCTAGCATGACACGATTCGCACTTTGTACGAGCCACATGTGGGTCGTGTCGTGTCAACCTAGCACAACCCAATTTACCCCTATACTTGAACCCGCCCAATATTGGGGATGGGGTAGGGAAATTTGAGGATTCTCCACCATTGATGAGGAGTGGGGTGCCTTGCCCCTAAACTCGCTTGACATTAAGGAGTGGTTACCTTGCCTTGAACCCACGTGACATCAGGGATGGGGCGGGGATGGGGTAGAGTGTCTTGACTATGGGGTAGGGAAAGGGATGGGGTGCCTTGCCCTAAACCCACCCCGTTGTCATTTCTATGTAATTGTTAATTATTAGTGGAATTAATAAAAATGTTAGCTTTTATAATTATTTTTATTTATTTAAAAGTAATCAAAATTTTATTTAAAAATAATAAAAAGAACAAAATTTATTAAAACTACTACAGATTATTAATAAAACAAAATTTATTAAAAAAATATTTGTTCATATTCTTTTAACAATATTTGTTCATATTCTCATGCATCACACGGGTCCCTGCTAGTAAATATTATAACATGACACACATAATTTATATTATATAATGTATAAAATAAGTTTATATGCATGTTATGTCATTTAATATGTAGATATGTAATATTTTATATATGAGTGATATTGGCTTGGAATCAGGCTTGACTTGGTCCAGGCCCGTATAGACCTGGGCCAGGGCTTATGTTTCAGGCCCGAAACCCCAATCTAGGCCTGGCTTGAGCCTAAGCTATAGCCCATGATTTTTAAAATCGACTTGGAGACCAAACCGATTAAGGGTCCGATTACCGGTTCGAATGGTCCAACTGTTTGACCCAAACAATTCAAATGGTTAACCGCTCGGTTCAGCGGTTTGCTAACCAAAATTAATGATTTTTGAGAAAAATCCGATTTTGGGGGAAAACAGAACCAATCACCTAATCGGTTCCCAATTTTTCTGATCCGACCATCCAGTTTTAAAAACCATACTATAACCCTTATGATAAGTGCAAAGCCCGACCCAACCCGGCCCAGCCCGGCCCATCATCACCCCTATTCTGATGCGTGCTTTGGGTCATGGGGTGAAGCCATCGCCGTGCTTCCGAGCAAATCCTATGCTTAAACCCTACACAGCATCCAAATTGAAAATGGATCAGACCGCTTCTTCCTTCTGCACAACTTCTCTAGGGTTAAAGCATCCATCAAACTTCGGCTCTTGTAGATTGGAATAACATTCTTAGGCGTTACACCGATCACAGCACCGGATCCACGAGAGGAGAGGCGATGCTGGGCATGGCATTATAAGAGAGGTCGTTGAGAAGCAATGGAGCAGGACACAGAAGGTTTCGTTGCCGCTGAGGCCACCACCCTCTAGAACAACCTGAGGAATCCCGCCTCGGATTTTCTTTTCCGCGCAAAACAATGAGATTTTCAAAAGTTTCTTCATCTCAATGGCTGTCTCGCTCCTGCAGGAACCCCAAGGTCCTTTGCTCAGCTTCGGCCAAGCATACTCATGATCTAATTTTCGGGGAGAAAACTGCGTTAGAAACAACGATTTCAGAGCAACCAGCTTCAGCTAAATCTGATTCAGAAATCGATTTTTCAAGGGAACACGATTCTAAGATGGGACTTTTAGAGGAACCCAACTCCAAAATTGGAAATTTGGAGCTATCCGTTTCAGGAATTTCTCGGAAGGCGGACTCGGAAACTTCTAAAGACTCTAGGTGTGCCCAATCTAGCCCCCTTGTTTCAGAGAATGGGCAAAAAATTTTCTCTCGTAGTGCAGATACAGTACTTACTCAAGACCATGTAATAGAGGTTCTTCTTAACAACCAACACGATCCTATATCAGCATTGAAATATTTCGAATGGGCCGAGAAACAGCGAGGATTTGTTCGAGGTGTGGATGCATTGTGTATTGTGCTTCACATCATTGCACAGTCAAGCAAATCTTCTACTGCTCAACATCTGCTGAATCGATGTGTTTCTGGTAATTCTATTCCCAGTGTAGATGTTATGGTTAATCACCTAATTGAGAGCTCAAAAAGGTGTGAATCAAATCCACTTCTGTTTAGTTATTTATTGAATAGCTACATACGGGCTGGGCGGTTTGAAGAGGCAGTGGAATGTTTTTATAGGTTGGTTAGGAGTGACATTGTTCCTGGACTTACGTATAGAAATATTCTCCTAACTTCATTGGTTAGGGTGAACATGACTGGGAAAGTTAGGGATTTGTATAGAGAGATGACGGAGAGAGGTATAGAATGCAATTGCTTCACTTTAAATGCTGTGATGCGCGCTTGTTTGAAAGAAGGGAATCCTGAGGAGGCTGAGAGGTATTTTAGAGAAATGAATGCTAGAGGAGTTAAACTTGATTCAGTTGCATATAATACAGTTATCCATGCTGTTTGTAAGATACCTGATTCAAAGTTGGCAGGCAAGTTGTTTAAAGAAATGAAGGATATGGGGTGGGCTCCCCATGAAGATACATATACTAGCATCATTGGTGCTTGTGTGAAGCAAGGAAATATTGTAGAAGCATTTAAACTGAAGGATGATATGGTTAACAATGGATTACCCATGAATTTGGTGGTTGCAACAAGCCTAATAAAGGGATATTGCATTCAAGGGAACTTGGATAGTGCTTTAGATTTGTTCTCCCAGGTGTCTGAAGGCGGAATTACTCCAAACAATGTCACGTATGCAGTTTTGATTGAGGGATGTTGTAGAAATGGAAAAATGGAGAAGGCATACGAGCTTTATGTTCAGATGAAACTCATGGATTTATACCCCAGTGTCTTTATTGTCAATTCCTTGATTCGAGGATTCTTGAGATCTCAATTATGGGAAAAGGCATCTAATCTATTTGATGAGGCAGTTGAATGCAAAGTTGCTAATGTTGTCACATATAATATTCTCATAAATTGGCTTTGCAAACATGACAGGTTCAGTGAAGCTTGCACACTATGGAGTAAGATGGTAGATACAGGAGTGGTTCCAACTGTGGTTTCTTACAACAATCTGATACTTGGTCACTGCAAACAAGGGAATACTACCTTGGCAACTACTGCCTTTTCTGAAATGCTTGAGAGGGGTGTCAAACCAAATGTAATCACCTATTCTATTTTGATGGATGGATATTTCAAAAAAGGAGAGATTGATAAAGCTTTCAACATGCATAACCAAATGTTGGGATTAAGGATTGCTCCCAATGACTTCACATATAATACTATCATTAATGGTCTTTGCAAAGCTGGTCGAACATCTGAGGCAAGTGATATGCTGAAGAAGTTTGTCAAAGAGGGTTGTGTTCCCACTGCTATAACTTACAATAGCATTATTGATGGATTCATAAAAGAGGGTTCCATGGACTTGGCATTGATGACTTACAGGGAAATGTGTGAGAAAGGGATATCCCCAAACGTTGTTACTTTCACCAGTTTGAGTGATGGGTTTTGCAAAAACAATAATATAGATCTTGCGCTGAAGATGAAAAATGAGATGATGAGCAAGGGTCTTGAACTAGATGTTATGATGTATAATGTTTTAATTGATGGTTTTTGTAAAAGAGGAGATATGAAAAGTGCACATGAGCTTTTCACTGATCTACTTGCATCCGGTTTAATTCCAAATACTGCCATTTACAATAGTCTAATTGGTGGATTTAGAAACCAGAACAACATGGTGGCAGCACTTGCTTTGCATAAGAGAATGTGTGATGAGGGGATTCCTTGTGATTTGGCAATTTATACTACATTAATTGATGGGTTACTGAAAGCAGGCGATTTAGTCATTGCATCAGAGCTTTACACAGAGATGCTAAGCAAGGGTTTCTTGCCTGACAGGATTACTTATACTGTTCTTGTACATGGTCTTTGCAACAAAGGACAGCTAGAGAATGCACGCAAAGTCTTGGAAGAGATGGAAATAAAGAAAATGTCTCCCAATGTTCTTATTTATAACACATTGATTGCTGGATATTTCAAGGAAGGAAATTTACAAGAGGCTTTTAGATTGCATGATGAAATGCTTGACAAAGGCCTGGTACCTGATGATGCAACTTATGATATTCTTGTAAATGCAAAGTTTGAAGATAAATCCTCTTGTCTTAGGGCCTAAGTTATCTTAAATCATCAGGCACATTGTTGTATTTTACTTTTTGGCTTTGCACCTTGTGCATTTGTCATCATTGCAGGCCTATTGCAACTTCTCATACTTTATTTTTAAATGGGTGAATATTTTACTTTATTTGTACATGAATGTTATATTCTTCATATTTCTTCTCTACTGAGTTAATGCTTTTCTTTATTTGTTCAGTCAAAGCAGAAAAATTTCCATATGATAATTGATATTTATCATTATTTTTGTTCTTCAATCTGTATGGAAAGGTATGGATAATAAATCATCGCATTTTATTTTATTTGTTTTATAATGTTTTTGGCAATGAAAAAGCAAAAATTTATTAAACAAACAAGAAGGTGCTAAGATAACACCCTCCAACAATATTTGTTTTATAAATTGGCAGAGCTTGTAAATCTTTTCATCTTGTTTATTTGTCTCTATCTCTTTTGTTAATGGGCCTTTTATGTTTCTTTATGTTTATGTTTAATTAAGTTATTCACCCAATTAAGGGCTTCTTTGTAAATACATAAACTTTGTAAATTACTTTTTAATGAAAGGATTAGGGAAGGGAGTTAGGTTCGAACAACTATTCTCCCAAAACCCTATTATTGCTGTGATATCTAATCCTTCTCACAACTTTTTAAATCAGTCCTCTCACTCTTTTGGACTATTTTTCTTCTGAGAGAAAATCGTCAGAGAGAGATGGTTTGCTCAGGGGAAAACCTAGACTAGAGTCTGAACTTTTCCTTCAATCGATTCAGTCTCCCAATCGGTTTGTGGACTAATGAGCTTTGTCCGTTTCGGTCCACTAATTACATTGGGTCATAAATGCATGGATCAGCCCTATCCGATACAAAATTTTAGACCGTTCAACCCATACAATTTAGATGCGATTCGAACGAGGTCCAACCTGAATCATTGACACCCCTAGCGGAGGGTTCCCCTCCCTTCTCATTCTCATACTATTAATATAATACTTTTTGCCAGCCAAGTTCTGTCAGCTCCTCAAAACATAATGTTTCATTGTACTCCCTGTCTAGACAAAGGATCAGCTACTCAGCTAGGTAATTGATTAATCTTGCTACCCATATAGAATGTCATGCCCAACATCCTGGCTAGTTTCCTCACTTCACAGATAGTATACCAGTACTGAAAAGGTCTCATACCCACTACCACATTGGAATCTCCTACCAGTCTACCACTGGTTTGGTTCATATTCTTATGCATAGAAAAATGTTTCTGGACTAAACCAATTCTGTCAGATTCAGACTAGATATATAGGTCTAATCTGAACAAGTTCAACCATCTGTTTAACTGTTCAACTTGTTGAATTACTGATAGTTCAGCTGGGACTGCAGACTGGTAAGAAGTATATAAAGCTTAACCAAAACAACAAAGTGTTTGTTAAACTCTGAATAAGGTAACTTGAAACAATGACACCCATTTGAGGTTATGAGTGCTAAAAATTAACAAGTCTGACATGAGAGAGCACTCATTTATAAGTGTCTAGGTATCATAGATCTGAAATATTGTAGTTTCCTAGTTCATTTCATACATCAATTCATTCCTTGATTGGAGATCATTTTGGTTAAACTTAAGGCATGCGGTTTTGCAGGTTGCCTTTTAATTTTGTATTAATATTTGACCCTCTGTTTTTATTCTCTGTAGAAGTCATTATTGTTATTGGTGATTTGGTCTAGAGTGTATTCACTATTGAAAGGAATTGAGTCATGGATGGAATCTAAAATTGCCTGCTTGCAGGATTCACAGTGTAGTGGCTAGGGATTGAAAAAGGGCCAGATTGTTAAGTGCTATACTTACTGAAAATAAAGTCAGTTGAACAGGGTTTCAAAAGGCTGAAAATGGATTATGTTAATGATAGAAAAGAACTAGCAATGGGTATAGGATTAAAATGAAGAACATATAACTAAAATTTGAGATTTTGAAAATTTGATGATCTAGATCCAGAAATCAGGCTCAAAAAATGAAGAGATGTAAGGGATCTTTCTAACTTGCAAAGGAACAAGCATGATATGTATTTTGATTAGGTTCTCCGGTCCTGTGGAAGAGGGTGATGTAGCTAGGGCAGAGTTTCTAGCTGCAGTATATGGGGTTTAGAAGGCCAAAGTGCTGGGGATTAGTAGACTGTTCATTGAGGGAGACTCAAAACTGTGATAAAATGGTTGCAAAAAGGGGAAGGAGTGACCTGGCAGCTGAAGAATGATTTCAGAAGGTTCAAATGTATGTCTAGAAATATGTCTATTCAGGTGGGTTGGGTAAGGAGATTGGCCAACAGCTTGGCTGATAGCTTAGCAAAACAAGGGGTTCAAAGAACAGAGATGTTTTGGGCATTTTTGTAATGCTGTCTTGGGTCAGCTTCTATGCTGATTTCCCTGTAACTTATTGTTCTATATTACAGCTTTTTAATTAATGAAAATTTTCAGAGTTATTGATAAAAAAATGTATTTTGATTAGTGTTTGATGTTGACATACTATCCAAAATGACCATACTAGGCATCATTGATGACCAGCAAGGCATGGGGGATTCAAAGAAATTCTTCATGCATAAATTCATATTATGTGGCAAAAGTGGTCTATATTTGTAGGCTGATGTTTAAAGGACCTGTTTTAAATAATTTGATGAGAAGAGCAGAAAATTTAAAGAACTTTCATTCAGACCAGAAAGTCAACTGCAATAGAATGTAGAATGCTGCTACTTTTTCTAGTTAACTTGCTACAGAACAGGCACAATTTATTTTGCCAAAGTTTAGAAACTTGAATAGGAGAGTAAAATAAGAAATTATTTTGATAATTTTGCATGATTGGGGGGTGTTGTGGATGCTTTTATTGGAAAGAAGTACAGCCGCAAACAGCAGCAGTAATGGGCGTTAAATTCAGTATTCCCATCTTATCTCTTAACTAAATTTTAAGATTTTCAATTTAAATATTTTTCTATTAATTAGGCAGTAGCATTATTATTTTCTATTTAAAGATAAATGTTTGTTAGGTAGTTTTCCTAAAGAAAGACTCTTACCTTCTTGTAATTCCTATTTAAAGGAGCWGATGATATTCAATAAGATTATCGATATTTTCAGTCAAGAAAGAGCAGAGGAGAGTTGGTGATCTCTTTAACAAATCACCATTAAGGCTCTAAAGATAGGTTCCTCGAGAAAAGGGAGAAACAAGGGAAATCAAGAAGTTTTTCCCGTTAACCGACCTGTGACGAGATCCTATTCGCGGGCCCTTAACAATTTGGTATCAGAGCAAGCCGTTATGGGTGAGTTTGAGCAATTGAAGACTAGGGTTCATGATCTGGAGCACAAACTCGTGGAAAACAGCAAGGAGGTGCGCGAGATCAAGGACGACGTCCGAGAATTGAGGCGCTTGATGGAGTTACATTTTTCTAGCAAGGAAAAGAGTTCAGAAGGGGCTGCAACCACAAATGGCCGCCGACCAAACTTGGCAGAATCGTCTGGCGAGCAACAGGTCGTTGCCTAGGGAATCGTGATTGTTCCCAAATATAGCAGGTTGGAATTTCCTTCCTATAATGGAGCTGGAGATCCTTTGGGATGGCTGTACAGATGTGAATAGTTTTTCAGCAACCAACGGATAGAGGACAGGGACAAGGTAGGATTAGTCGCATTCCACATGACAGAGGAGGCGCAACTCTGGTTTTATAAATTGGAGCAGGAGGAACCTGGGCTCAGTTGGACCCAATTCAAATCCTATTGCCTTTTTAGATTTGGGCCCCCCATTAACAAACAATCCATTAGGCGAACTAATCAACCTCAAACAGACTAGAACTGTGGTTGAGTATCAGCGCCAATTTCAGACACTCCTTGCAAGAGCAACTTCGGTACGACCAGACCAACAGGTTGACATGTTCACTGCGGGATTAGTGGAAACTTTGAGGGTGGATGTGGAGATGCAAAATCCCCCCAATCTGGTTGCTGCTATGAATTTGGCTCGAGCTTTTGAATGAAAATTGCAACTCAACTACGGAATTATCAGTATAGGGCGGCCTCAAACAACATGGGCAACCTCGAAACCACTCAGAACAGCTCCATCTTCAGCAGCCAGCCGAGAACAAAACCACAGACGAGCAACAATTCCAGATCGACATTCAGTGTGGGAAGCAACATTGTTGTACCCCCTATTAAGCACTTGTCCAGGGCTGAGATGGCAGAACGCAGGGCGAGGGGGCAGTGCTTTAATTGTGATGAACTTTACTCAGCAGGGCACAAGTGCAAGAGACTTTTCTGCCTCCTAGTGGATGAACAAGAGGAAGATGAGGATGAACCCTCTTCATTGGAACTCGAGATTTCTCTCCACGCAATTACTGAAATAAAAACCTCTCAAACTATGCAATTGCAAGCGCGGGTAGCAGGGAAACCAATACTGATCCTTGTTGATTTAGGAAGCACACATAATTTTGTAAGTGAACAAGCTGCCATCCAGTTGGAACTACTAATGGAAATCAAACCGAGACTGCAGGTAGCCGTAGCAAATGGTGAAAGAGTACACAGCCCGGGCATCTGTAAGGGAGTCCAAATACAGGTCAATTCCGAATCCTTCCTTGCTGATTTGTTTGTGCTATCCTTGGATGGATTTGATGTAGTTCTTGGGGTGAAATGGCTAAACACTCTAGGCCCAATCCTATGGGATTTCAACGCCCTAACGATGACCTTCCACTTGAACGGAAAGCAAGTCACTTGGCAGGGTAAAGTGGTGAAGGCAAAATACCCACAGGTTCATGTGCTCCAAGATGAAATGACACACACAACAACCATGGAAAGGCTCCTCACTGATTTTCCAGATGTATTCCAAGAACCCAAATGATTTCCTCCTTCCCGAGCTTGCGATCACCGGATCACTCTGATGACGGGTTCAGAACCAGTAGTAGTAAGGCCATATCACTACCCACACCTGCATAAAGATGAGATAGAAAGGTAATGTGCTGAAATGCTGGAGCAGGGGATAATCTGCCTTAGCCGTTCCCCTTTTTCTTCCCCGGTCCTATTGGTGGCAAAGCAGGATGGTACTTGGAGATTCTGTGTTGACTACAGGGAGCTTAATAACCGGACTGTCAAGGATAAATTTCCTATTCCCATTGTGGACGAGTTGTTGGATGAACTTCATGGTGCCTAGTATTTCACAAAATTAGAT